TCAAGCTGGGCCAGTGTCAACCCTCACACAGTCCCCGAATAACTACTATCTGAATTAAATATACATATCAATTCTCTCCTACCCCACATCAGTACTATGTTTTAAAATAAATTAATTTAGATTTCAATGTTACTCACATCTTTGTTATCATGGACCCTAAAAGAAGTATTTCCAGCTTTATGTCATCCAGAGTCAGGGTTTTAGGCTTAATAAGGCATGAAAGACTGTTAACTACCAACAAAGCCTTCCCAACTTCTCCCCTCAAGAAAGCAGTTTAGTTTTCATCTCCATTTTTTATTCCAGATATAAGAGGAACAAAGAAAACCACGTGCAGAAAGCGTAAGAGAGTTCTCACCTGAATCCCATTTGTAGAACATGAACATTCTTGCATGGCTCCATTACCTCCAAAACACTTGACAAAACTGAAAGGCATATCTCATCACACTCATTGATACGTTCCTATTGAAATATAATTTCAAAAACACTACAGGTGATGAGCCCATAGTAAACTATCTCACCCAAGCAAAACCCCTGAACTGATGTACTGAATAAAAGGATTGAGTATCAAACCAACAATTCTTACAGTCAGTCCACAATAAACAGCATCTTTGGGAAACAAAAAGTCATACTTACTGAATTTTCCAGCTAACTGATACACATCCTTTTATGCATCAACACTTTTTTACCTTCACCATTATCACTGAAAACACATTTGATATTTATTATATTCCACTACTTCTGAAACAACTTTTATTAAACATTATTGTTACCTCTTCTTGTAACTCAAGGTCATCACAAAGGCAAAAACAGTTAAAGTGCAGGAATATAAGAACTACTGAGGTACAGCAGGTAACTAGCCCGTCTCTAAAGATCCTTAAATGGTTGTGCTCTTACAATTTCCCTAGATCCTTTCCTGGGTATCAAGCTGAAACTTTAGTTGTGAATCTTCTAATTCACATCTCTACCACCACATTCTACCACCGCTATCTGGGTCTCAAGGGAAGCTTATACCCCACGGATTCTTCTTTCAGGTCCCTTTACTTAGGGTACTAAGTTTGATTCCAGAAATAATAGTGGGCATAATTTGGAAAGTGAATAGTAACAACACAGCTTAACTAGTAGTACTGTACAGTTTAATCACAACTAGTCTATACACCTCACAAAAGATCACATCTGAGGAAACTTAGCCTGAAGAGAGAGATGTTCTTTTGCTAACATTACATAACCAACAAATCACAGAGTCTTAAGTCAGAACCAGGTAATAAGAAATGGTTATCGTTAGAAGAAAAAAAAAGGTTTCTTTCCTATGAAAGGGTTTCCTTAACAATTTTACAGCATTCCATCAATATCTACTATGAAAGAAAAGACCACTTGTCTATGTGTCTGAAGGGCAAATTCACTGATGGCACACTGTCCTTTCACCTCTAAAATGTTTTTACATTATTCCAACAGGTCAGTGAGACACCATCATCCATACGGATGTTTTGACTACAAAAACCTACTACTCATACCTCACCAACAAAGATGTCATCCCGATGCGAATATCTGTCCAAAATCTAGTAAGAGTATCACTGACCAGGTAAGGTGATTTATTATAGTCACTTTTAAATAACTACATAGGAACTAATATACAGCCTACAAATAAACAGGGATATTCTGTGGTCTAAACAAATACACACACATACATACTAAATAAAAATTAGTTAGTCCTTGAGGACATATGGAAATCACAGTAATGTAAAAAGTTAAAAACTTTCCCATAGCTATGAACCCAATTCTTGAATTCTATAGCAAGATAGGATATATGCCAGATTATCCCCAAGAAATTCCTGTCTTTTAAAAAATTATTATTATTATTTTCAGACAGGGTCTGGTTCTGTCACCCAATCATGGCTCATGGCAACTTCAACCTCCCAGGCTCAAGCGATACTCCCACCTCAGCCTCCAAAGTAGCTGGGACCACAGGCGAGTACATCACACCCAGCTAATTTTTGTATTTTTTGTAGAGATGGAGTCTCCCTATTTTGCCCAGGCTGGTCTCAAACTCCTGGGCTCAAGAGATCCTCCTGCCTTGGCTGTAATCCCAAAGTGCTGGGATTACAGGCATGAGCCACCACACCTGGCTAAAAAATTACTTCATTAACATTGAGTTTATAAGTCAGCAGTGTACTCTTAAAACATAAATGATTAACAAGCTAATCCTTCCTTCCTTACATTTGGCACCATTTCAGTGACATTAAACAGGACACTGGCATTCCTGCTTTAGACTAAAAATGGCTCCCTCCATCCAATTTCAACCTTCTTCCAATCCATTTTCCACTTACTCAGTGATCTAAAATACAAATTTGAGCACGTCAACCCATTGCTTAAAATTCTTCAACGGACTCCCATTGCCTACAGGATGAATGCATACTCCTTAGCTAGCCGTAAGAGGCTCTTTATGATTTGGTTCCTATTTTTCTAGCCTCTTGTTCTGCCCCAAACCTCTTGCCCCTCACTCCTCGCCTCTGATCACCATGTACAAAACTTGTTCCCACCCCTACAAACATACAACTCCATCATTCTGTGCTTCAGCTACACCAAACTACTTTCAGCTCTTCAAATTCGCCAAACTTTTCCTCTGGGAATCATAGGGCATGCAATCCTCTCTACTTGAAACACCATCCTCTTCACTATCATTCTGCTTATCAGTCTGGGCATCATCTACTGGGCCTGAATCCCAATTCTACCATGGACTAAATTCTCCTTTCCCCTTCCCTTCTCTCCTTCTTCAATTACCCAGGCTTTCTTTGTATATCTTGCATCTCTCCTCATTTTAGTTTCTTCACCACTACTCAACCCTGGGGATGGTAAATGGGGAAGGCTTTCATAAATTTCCATAGCAAAAGGAAGAAAATAACTAGCTAACTTAAGGCCTCTAAATCATATAATATATGTGCAGAAATAAATATAAAGGAAACTACCATTCGATAGTCTCTTTTAAGGAGGCTACATATCTATTTCCCTTCATTCTTTCAAAATATTCTAAACCAAGTAAATGCATGAAATCTCCTTTTTATTTTACCTGGGTCACCCTCAGCAAAGTCTGTACCAAAAGAGTGTTCTGAGGGATTCCAAGCTTCACTATGGCGTAAAGACTGAACAGTAGGTACTTATACTGTATGATCTTGGCTTCTCTCATCATATGTTCACAGAGCTGATTAAATGCAGGGTGGCTAAACATCAGTCGTTTTTCAAAGCGCTTCTGGTCATCAGACAGTCTTTTGGCAATTGTCCACATTGCTGTGAAATAGTTGCTACTAGGAAATGTAGGCGCTTTTGTAAATGCATCTAACACATCACTCAGCGAATTACATTCCTCAGACAGTTTTCTACTGCTGATACGGTTTGGTTTTGTTTCCTTGGTAAGAACATCTTCACTGGGGACTTCATGATGAAGGTTTACTTTCTTCAATTCACCATTAAATTTATCAACAGAGACAAGAGAATGCTTTGAGTCAAAAAACAGTCTTTTAGCATAAAGCAGTCTGTCAATTCTAAGGGTGGTTAGAGTGCTTATGCCCTTTGTTTGAAAGCCAACATCTGATTTTAAAATGAACGCATCCTGAAAGAGATATCTAAAGATATCAGTTGATCGCATTCTGTTATGAGAGTTATTTAAAATGTTCCAGTTTGAATGAACTATTTTTGGTTTGCAAAGTCCCAAAGGATACAGCCTCATAGTTCTGCTTGTTGGAACTAATGTACTGAATTGTCTAAGGTTCCATAAAAAGGAGCCTGCTTTGTTATTCATTTTGCTCTCCACTGAAACACTTCCAAACGGCTTTAATGTTGTCAATATGAAACCAACGTCGCTTCTACTAGTGAAAAAGAACACGTGCTGTGGTTTTTCCTGTAGGGGAAGAAGTAATTAAAAGAATAAAAATTAAAACAAAACTTTTACTTAAAGATATGAAATGCATTTAACAGAAGAGAAAATGTGGAACCTATGGGGTCATTAAAGATTTACATAAAACGGTAAAAGTATTTTTATCAAAATGGGCTCCCTCTCATCTACCACAATGTGTCCAGTTTCAAAGAAGCCAGCTCACTTTGGAAGTAGTCATTGTATTAATGAGATTTTTCTGGTGTAAAAGCGTTCCATAAAGCTTTCTCTATAGGAGAGATTTTTGTGGCATTGTTATGGAAATGTCCTCAGTGAAAATTACGGGATCAACATTGATAGATCATTTTCTTTTTTCTTTTTCTTTCTTTTCTTTTTTTTTTTTTTGAGACAGAGTCTTGCTCTGTTGCCCAGGCTGGAGTGCAGTGGCGCGATCTTGGCTCACTGCAACCTGCACCTCCCAGGTTCAAGCAATTCTCCTGTCTCAGCCTCCCAAGTAAGTTGGGATTACAGGCGTGTGCCACCACGTCCGGCTAATTTTTGTATTTTTTGTAGAGACGGAGTTTCACCATGTTGGTCAGGCTGGTCCTGAACCCCTGACCTCAGGTGATCCACCCGCCTCGGCCTCCCAAAGTGCTGGGATTACAGGCGTGAGTCACCGCGACCGGCCGATAGATCATTTTCAACATGACGATTTAGCAACGGCCGAACCCAGATTATCAAGGATAGGGACTTGAGCAGGTAGAACGGCTCAGTAGAAGCAGCAGAAAACGAAAGCGATGTCTGCATGTGGCCTGCGCTCAGGACCAAGATCTTGTACAACCAGCCAGCCTCACCAGACCCCAGAACCAACTTCAAGAGCCTTTCCTTCTGCAGCTGGACCGCCCAGCATTAACCCACCTCCTTTAAACTTAATTTCGGGACAACTCCTGAGATCTTTCTCCGCCAAGTAAAAAGTCTAGGATGTGATACGGGCAGCCGCTCAGCCCATGCTCGTCCTCCACTCACCTTAGAGTACAACCCCGTGGCTACGTACAGGAGCGGCCATGACAGCGTCCCCGAGAAGCTGCGCGTCTCACGAGATCTTACGGATTCCCTCAAAGGTCAAAAAGCGTACGTTCGCGGCTGTAGCTGAAGGACATACTTAGAAGAAAGCTTACAGAAGAGAATGACTAGGAGGATCGGCGATACCACAGAGCTTATAAGGGCGATGTTTGGTCGTGTATCGCAAGGTAACTCATTCAAGTCCTAACTTTATAAACACCTAACTTCTGCTGGACTCCAGACTTCGTAGTGCGCCTGCGCCTTGCCCTTGGCTGCGTGGTTGCCAGGAAACCGCGAAGCCGCGGTCCCTGCCTCTGAGTCTCTCTCGACCATGGCCAAATTCGTCATTGCGGGTGAGTAATCCCCGCGTCCGCCCGCAGATTGCTCAAAACGCCGACAACAGCTCACCTCCCATGGCCACTTGGCGTGGCAGCCTCTATACGTACAGCTCCATGCGTTGCTGTGGATTTATTCAAAGTTATTTACTGGCCCGTCACGGTGCGCCAAGCACTGTGGGACACTGGGGATGCAATGCAGGGAAACATATCCCTGCCTTCGAGGAGCTTTCAATCTCATGGGGCACAGAACATGTACTTTTGATACGGTGTGATTAATGCAATGAAGGAGACCTGCACAGGCCTCTGGGAGAGTAGACTCCTAATCTGGGTTTGGGGGATGAGGGAGAGGTGGACACAAGGAACTGGCTGGGGAACGTAGGAGCTGAGTTGTGAAGGTGTGAGCTGAGGAGGCTATTCCAGATAAAAGCAGAGAGGCTGGAAGCCTCCTGGCCTAACAGAAGATCTGGATATGTGGAGCGTGACAGGACCAGGGGCTACAACAGGAGCGGGAGCCAGGTCCTTGCATTTCGTGTACATCAAGCAAAGGTGTTTGAACTATATCCTGAAAGCAATGAGGAATTATAGAAAAATTTTAAGCAGGAGAGTAGTCTTAATGAGTTTGCATTTTAGGAAACCTGTCTTGGCAGCAATGGAGAGAATGATTGAAAGTGCTGGTTGACAGCAAGGACTCAACTGAGAAGGCTTTTATTACAGCAATCCATGGTACCTGCCTCCTCTCCTCATAAAGTTTCTTAAAAGAGTAGAGTGCTCTTCCATCTCCAGTTATGCCTTCCAGTCAATCTTGGAAGAAGGCTTCTACTTCTGCTTCCTGACAGAAACTGCTGTCACCAAAGTCACCACTGAGTTTTATAGAAGCTGTTTGGTCTTTTACTTATTTTATCTCTTTGATACATTGAACACAATTGACATCTACCATCCGCAGAAGGTTTTGTTTTGTTTTGTTTGTTTGTTTTTGATACAGGGTCTCACTTTGTCACCCAGGCTGGACTGCAATGGCACAATCATGGCTCACTGCAGCTTTGACCTCCTGGGCTCAAGTGATCCTCCCACCTCAGCCTCCCAAGTAGCTGGGACTACAGGCATGCACCAGCATGCCCAGCTAATTTTTGTATTTTTGTAGACATTTTGTCATGTTGCCCACGCTGGTCTTGAACTCCTACACTCAAGCGATTTGCCCACCTTGACCTCCCAAAGTGCCAAGATTACAGGCACGCGCCACCACACCTGGCCCAGAAGAATGTTTTTGAACACTGACTAACCGTATGGTGGGAAGTCAGTGGAAAACACACTTACAGAGAATGTTGCATGTATGACATTGGCAGGGCAGGGTTCTATAGGAACGATAGCAGGGGACCTTACTTAATCAGGTAAGGGCTTCCCAGAGGGAGAGATTTTAAGCAGATACCTGAAAGATGATAATGAATTACCCAACAGAGAAGAGGTAGAAAGGAGGGGAGCAATTTAGGCATGGGTAACTGGGAGTGGGGTTACAGCAAGGAGAACTGGTTTGGTGATAATTGAGAATATAAAATAAGCATAAAATTGAAATAAGTTTATTAGGACTGAAGCAAATAGTACAAGGAAGAGAATGTCATAAGGTGAGGCTAGAGTTAGATAATGTAGATTCTTTTGAGTCACATTCAGTAGTTTAGACTTTATTCAGAGTACATGAAATGTTTTTGGAAGGGGAGGAGGGCCTAATCAAATTTGAATTTTATCTGAATGTTATAACTGTAGTGTGGGGGAAAAAGTCTGGATGCCAAGAGACCAGTTAGGAGAATAGTGCTATAGTCCAGGAGGGAGTTGATGGTGACCTCGCCTAGAGTGGCAAACAATGGAGATGGAGAGAAGTGAATGGATTGGAGAGATATTAGGGAGGCAGAATCTATAGAACTGGATGTCTGATTGAGTGGAGGAGTAGAGATAAGGGAGAAAAATGAGTTAAACATTGTTCCCAAGCAGATGTTTGAATAATTACAGAGATTAGGAGTCACTGAAAAAAACAAAAAAGTGGAAGAGTAGGCTTAATACTCTAGATACTCTTACTACTCTTAGATAATTAGGGAAATGAACATAAAAAATATAAGCGACTAAGTAAATTTAGTACGGGAATGGTGAAAAAATACATCATAGACCATCTGAGTGTGTATGAGACATTTTGAAGGAGATGGGAAAATACAGGAGGGTGTAGGCATCTAGATAAGGAGATAGATCTAAGCTGGAAATATAGATTGCTACTTGAAGCCAAGGGAATGAAGCAGATTGGCCAAAAAGAATATATAAGATATAAAGACATGATGCTTCTCAGAATGATACCTTTTAATGGGTTGAAGGAATGGAAAACTACAAAGGATAGAAAGGAGTAACCAGAGAAGTAGGAGAACCTGAAGAATGCCCCCACTATAGCAGGTGTTTCAAAAGGTTGGAAGGGGGCAGTAGTGGCAGATGCTGCCAAGGGTCAACAAGAAAAGGATCGGAAAGTATCTGTTGGATTTAGTGGCATGGAAGTCCTCGGTGACCTTCAAGAGAATTGTGGGGTCTGCTACATTGCAGTGGGTGAGAAATAAATGGAAGTGAAGAACTGAGGATGGCAAGTATAGAGAACTCTTTCAAGATAGTTTGATCAAAAAGGACATATGAAAGGCAATAGCTAGAGGGGGAGATGAGTTTTTTGTCTCTTAGGACAGGAGGAACGTAATGAGTATATTTAAATATGACAGAAAGGGACTATCGGAAACAGATACAAGACTCTAGAAAGAAAGGATAATTAAGCAAGGTTCCTGAGAAGGCAGATGAGGGTGGGATTCAGAGCATAAGTGGTGGGATTAGATTAGACAGGAGGTGGAACTCCTCTTCCATTGAAGTGAAGAAAGGAGGAAAGGATGAGTCCAAAAGCAGACAGGCATGTAGATGTGATGGAGGAGGTTGGAGGTTTTCCAAACTAATGCCGTTTTGTTTTGTTTGGATTGGTTTTTGTAAAGTAGAAAGCAAAGTTGTTTGTTGTGTTCTGATAATACAGAAGAATGTTGGGGAGAAGGAAAAGATTTGCAGGAAGAGGAAAAAGTTTGGAATAGTAATTGTGGAGAACAGAAGAGAATGCTGATAAGGGAAACAAAGGGATCTCCACGCAGGGTTGAGGGCCAATTAAAGCTGGTGACGATGAATTTTAAAGGTGCCCTGTGCTTGGTTCTACCATGTTTCTGTAGTGGTGCCTAGCAGGTAGGACCCAGCTACAGAAAAGGCAAGTAATTAAGTTCATCCAAGATGAGGGGCTTTTATCAGGCTCATTTCCTAAAAGGATAGTGGGGAGAGATAATTTAAGACATCAACCAGAAAGTGGTTTGAAGAAATGAACCATAGATTTGAACTAGACAGGGCGGCTGATAGACAGGGGTCGCTTCAGACAGGTTGATAACTTAGGAGTTTCCATGAGGCCAAGGAACTGGTGACTAGGAGTTACGGAGGAAGAATGCTACAGAGAGGGCTCTGCATTTTGCCCCATCCCTCCTGCTCTATCAGATGCCCAATTCCATCTGGTGTAGTGGCTTTAACTTCCTGGGTGTTGATGGCTACAAACTGTGTGTCTGAAACCCTTACAGGGCACCTGCACCTATATATATATATATATAGCTACTTGCTAATCATATCCACTTAGACATACTACAAATACCTCCAACTGCACTTGACTAAAGTTAAATTTCTCATTCATGATTTCTCTCTAGTTAAGGTCGGTATCATCTGCCCAGGCCAGAAAATAGAAGTTATCCCAGATTCATCTTTCCCATCCCCACAACTTCCTGACACACATCAAATCCAAAAGTGATTTTACCACCACTCCTTACTTCAAACTTTACCTTTTGGTGGCCATTAGTGAGTAGTTCATTATCAGCACTAATTCACGCTGAATTAGTAGTAGTTAGCAGCCTCCTAGAGGAAGTAAGGTCCAGCATATTACTAGAAGAGAATAAATATTCAGTAGGTTTTTTTTTCTTTCCACATTTTATTACTTAAGATTCTGACCTCCTATGAAGTTTATTTTATTTGTATTAATCTAATAAACATCAGAAGTTTATGTCATAGCAGTTTCAGTTTATACTACAACTTTATGTTACTAAATTATATCATAACTATGACTAATTCTGTAATTACATATCAAATACTTAGAACTACATAATAATTTATGCATGATGAAAGAAAACATTGCTAATTTGAACTCTTTTAGGTAGAGCAGATTGTCCATATTATGCTAAAACAGAACTTCTGGCAGACTATTTACAAAAGAATCTTCCTGATTTTCGGATACATAAAATCACACAACGTCCTGAGGTTTGGGAGGTAAGAAGCCTTTATAGTTTGTTGAACTCACTCATGCACAAAATGTGTTTTAATTTGATGAAATATTAGCTGGTGTATTAGATTGGCTTCTAGTAATGACTGTTCATGTACAAGTGATATTTGAATACTAGTAAAACAAGTCCCTACTTACCAGTCTCAAAATAATATTTATGTTTTTCCCTAATATCTAGTAGTACAAATGAGACTCTAATCAATAAGTGGATGAGTTTGGCCACACCCCCTGAAGAATCCAGGTAGCTTACACTGCACTTGCTAACTTTTCATTCTCCTTGGTATTGATTTCCAATGACTTCTTTGGGATACCCTTCTTCGGGATACCCTTCTTTGGGACTCTGTTTCCCCAGAAACAGACTTTGAGATGTAGATTTTGGTGAAGGGTCTTTGCTGGGAAGTGGTCTTGGGAACAGCATCCTGAAACGGAATGAGGGCGGCAGGATTGGGTAAACGAAGAAGTTAAACTTCGACATAGCTGCAACAGAGGGCTCAGCGGATCCCACAGTGAACTCTTGATGGCCTTTCAGAGGTATTCCAAACTGAGGCAAGGTAGTTGAGCCTTTGTGCTCCCTCCTCAACCAGCCATTGGATATCAGCTGCCCCTGAGAAGGAACTTAACCTTAGGCAAGGCAATTTTCTTTGGCTGAAGTCAATTCCTAGAGAAAGAATGGAGTCAGACTTTAAGTTATCAGCCTCTAATACGCCGGGTGCCTGAGAGAGTGAGTGCCTCATTTGTGAAGGGGGAACCTGGAGTGTACATGACAGCACTGGCTACAGTCCACCTGTTGTGCCTTTTGGATTCACATGCTCCCTATAATCAGTTCACACCGTCTTGGAACAGCTCCTTGGATTCTGGTTGCCATCTTTCCCTGGGGAAACTTTACAAGAGAAAGGTTAGTCAAATGAACTATAGTCTCCACTGCTCATAATTTCAGGGACAAACTGACAGTCATCACCTCTTTTCTCTCCCTCTCTTCTCTACCATCCATTGTAGATTTCCCTCACTCTCTGCTGGTCTGGTCTTCAGCTAAGTTATCTCGTTTGCTGGGTTGTTTAGTGCTTCTGTCACAAAAAATGTTCTCTGGTTGGCACTGCCCACTGGCCTCTATTATTTCAGGATTTTATCATCTCAATTGCCAGGGAGTTCAGGTGTGTAGCAGCATGTCCTTTAACAGCCTTGGCCACAATCATATGAAAAAATGCTCAACATTACAGGGTTATTAGAGAAATGCAAATCAAAACCACAATGAGATTCCATCTCATACCAGTTAGAATGACTGTTATTTAAAAGTCAAAAAATAACAGATGCTGGTGAAGTTGTGGAGAAAAAGGAACACTTATATACTACTGGTGGAAGCATAGAAAGATAGAAATAACAATCAACCCAGAAATCCCATTACTGTGTATATACCCCTCAGAATATAAATCATTCTTTTATAAAGACACATACACACATATGTTCATTGCAACACTATTCACAATAGCAAAGACATGGAATCAACCTAAATGCTTATCAATGATAGACTGGAGAAAGAAAATGTGGTACATATACATCATGAAATACTACACAGCCATAAAAAGGAATGAGATCATGTCCTTTGCAGGGACATGGATGGAGCTGAAGATCATTATCCTTAGCAAAGTAATACAGGGACAGAAAACCAAATACTGCATATTCTCACTTATAAGTGGGAGCTAAATGAGGAGAACACATGGACACAGGGAGAGAAACAACACACACTAAGGCCAATCAGAAGGTAGAGAGTGGGAGGAGGGAGAGGATCAGGAAAAATAACTAATGGGCACTAGGCTGAATACCTAGGTGATGAAATAATTTGTACAACAAATCCCATGACACAAATTTACCTATGTAACAAACCTGTACTTGTACCCCTGAACTTAAAATAGAAGTTTAAAAAAAAAAAAACAGCCTTGGCTTAGAACGGACAGCTACACTGGGCTTCTCAGTGACACTGGGACCCCTCTCACCAGTGCATTCCTTATCACTTAGGTGCATGTCGTATCCTGCAGTCCCTTCCAGAGAACATGGTTGAATGGTGGGCTTTCCAGCCTTCCGTAGTACCACGTTCGCTAGTGTTTTTGTTTTTTTTTTTTAATTAATTTATTTTTTTTGAGACAGAGTTTTGCTCTTGTCACCCAGGCTAGAGTGCAGTGGTGCAATCTCAGTTCTCTGCAACCTCCACCTCCCAGGTTCAAGCAATTCTCCTGCCTCAGCCTCCTGAGTAGCTGAGATTACAGGTGCCCACCACCACGCCCGGCTAATTTTTATATTTTTAGTAGAGATGGAGTTTCACCATGTTGACAAGGCTTGTCTCGAACTGCTGACCTCAGATGTTCCCTCCGCCTCGGCCTTCCAAAGTGCTGGGATTACAGGCATGAGCCACTGTACCCGGCATCACTAGTCTTTTGATCCATTCTTCTACTGTCTTCCATGAAGTCTGGTATTTCTATTTTATTTAATTACTTCCTCCAAGTTTCTAAGAGCCAGTCTGGCAATATGTTGTCCCTGTCTTCTGAGGTCCTTGCCAGGGTATACACTCTTGAATTACAGAAAAGTGATTCATACTAATGAATTCTCCCTTGTCTAACTTCATGTTCCACTCTCGATTCAGCACTGTAAGGGTCTAGTCCTTTACACACACTCGCAGCTCCTGCTGGGACATTAACATGCTCTGCAGGGTGTGGAAGGTTTTTTGGGGTAATGTTTCTTTCCTTCATAGGCCCAGTACTTCATTGGTCTGGCTATGCTGTGGCTAGAGGGACCATGTTGGAATCCTCATAGCAGCACTGTTTGCTTTAAGTGAGATAAAGGCAGGCATATCTTCAATATCAGCAAGGAAATTAGTTTCCAGGATTTTATTGGTAAGGTGGCCTCATTACCCATGCCTCCAATGACATGGTTTTTAAGACTGCTGCCATGTACTTTGCTGATAAAAATGTTGCCGTTTGACTCTACTCAGATCTTGTCATTGGAAGGCCTAGCCTATACAAACCAGGTAATGATAATTTAACTTTTTCTGATAAATATTATTGGAAATCTCCAAATAACTTTTAGCTTATTAATTTAGTCTGAACTACATAAACCACACTCACAGATTTGAAAAACAGTATCAAATGTTATATGCCCCTAAAACTGGAAATATTGCATGTGTAGAAGAATAAGGGCAAAACTAGTTGAATTTTTTAAAAAATCAGTTGAGTTGGAACATGTAACCTCTCTTTAAGCTAAACACTTGCATTCCAGATCTCCTCAGCAAAAAGAGCAACTTTCAGTACCTTTATTTGGTCAATTAATTTGAAGAATATGCTTTCTTATCTAATTAATCTGCTACTAACATCATCACTATTTTCTATATTTACATTTTAGTCTTTAAAGATATCTAAATTATATTATATATATGTAGTGACATTAAAAACAACCTGGTATTTTAATGTTTGAATTCAAAAGTATTAAATTGAATTCCCAGGCAGAGTTAATATATGACTTCACTTGGAATATCATTCAACAGGATTGGCTAAAAGATGTGTGTGAAAAGAATAAGTGGAGTCACAAGAATTCCCCTATCATATGGAGAGAGCTGTTGGATCGTGGAGGAAAGGGTTTGCTTTTGGGAGGATATAATGAGTTCCTGGAGCATGCCCAGGTATATAAGTTAACTTGACTTATCTGTTCTAACAATGATAATTCTCTTACATTATTTTATTTTTCAACTATCTTGCTTTCTGAGACATTCTCTCATGTCTCTTTTTATTGTATTTTGACTTTAAACAAAAACTTTCCATTATAGCCAATTTCAACTAGTTATCTATTCTCTCATGTTGACTTTTTCTCTCCCAATATTTAGCTTTACTATGATGTCACCTCTAGCATGACGACTGAGTTGATGATGGTAATTGCTCAAGAGAACCTGGGGGCACATATAGAAAAAGAGCAGGAGGAAGAAGGCCTGAAAACTTGCATCAACCCCTTGCAGGTCTGGATCACCAGGTAGGACAGTCAAATCCCAGGATTCACGAGATTGACTTTTTATATTTAGAAAAGACAATGAGATGGGATTAATTTCATGATGGAAGAATAGCTGAATTGTGTGTATACTTATATGTATACACATATACATATGCCTCTGTGTGTGTGTGTGTGTTTGTATTCTCCATATAACTCATAAGTGAGTTTTAGGTTTTACAGACACACACACACGCATATACTTGTTCTAAAAACAACTCTATAGCATGGCTGCTTTGCAGAAGCTCACCCTTTCTGACTGTTGCTCTCTCCCTCTTTCCCACTTGCTAGAGCTTTGTTTGGCTTTTCTCTATGCACCCACTCCCTCTCTGTAACCCCACTCCCCTCACCTTGCTCCCTTTTGCTTTGCTCCTTCTCATATGTGCTCCTCTTTGCTCCCAGTCTGGGCGCATGCAGTCCTTGTTGTCACACTCTCTCTCTTTCTTTCTCTGCACTGTCACTCTGTCTCTCTTGCTCTCTCTCTCCCACCCCTTCTCCTTTCCTCACCCCTCAGTTTGTCTTTTGCACTTTCCTGCTCATACGTACGTGTGTATCCTAATATATACACTCATTTTTAAAATTGTTATGAAATATTTTAAATACAGAAAGGAATTGAGAATGATGTAATAAACATCCATGATCCTGTCACCCAGATTTAATAACTATCACATCTTCTTTAGATGTTTCAAAGGATTAAATTGGTACAGATACTGTTGAAACCCCCGTTGTACACCTCCCTAAACCCACTGTGAATACCAGAAATGCCCAGATACGTTTCTGAACTTCCCGTGGCAGGCATTACAGTTCACAGTTGATAGTCACAGCTGTAGACAACTGCAGAATTGTGGCTACAGATACACCTTACATAGTCTGTGTTGATCCCAGCCATCTTTGTAAGGATTTTTCTGTGTAAGAATTTGGAAAAGGTAGCCCTTTCCAAAAAAAAAAAAAGGGGATGTCATTATTGTGTAGATGAGGTTGTATTTTTTAAAAAAGAGTTATGGCTAACTGAAACTTTTATCTTTATCTTTTTAGGAGGAAATGTAAACACATATTTACAGTAATATAATACAGTTTTTTTCTTTTGATTTCTGTATAGGGGGAATTCTGTTTTCTTTGAAAAAACTAATGAACAGGTGTATTTATTATTTGGGGACTGATTTCAGATGGTCAGAGCAAGGGATTGGTAGTGAGAAGTTTTTGTTCTACTTTTGACTTCTAGCCTTAAAATGTCAATGCGGCTGTGTTTGTGCTTATTTAAATATTAAACCACCCTATTGATGCACATGCAGAAATATCTATTAAGAATAAAGGCTTAAAAGGGACAAAGGATGTAACTATTCACAGTCCAGCTTTGCATTTTTATCAGTGCCTCTGCTCCTGCCTGCTACAACCTAATTCCCATATTGACGAGTGGCGAAGTGTTTGGGATGCATACAGAAATTAGCATAACTCTATTTGACAACAACCAGGCAGAAGAATATCTCAAAAGCCTTGTGCTGGAGACCCAGGACCTAGCGTCACCCGTCCTGCGCAGTGTCTCCATCTGCACGAAGGTGGAGGAGGCCTTCTGCCAGGCCCACGTCATTGTGGTGCTGGACGATAGCACCGACAAGGAGGTGTTCACTCTGGAGGACTGCCTCCGAAGCAGGGTGCCTCTGTGCAGGCTCTATGGTTACCTGATAGAGAAAAATGCTCATGAGTCCGTCAGAGTCATCGTGGGAGGGAAAACCTTTGTGAACCTGAAGACAGTTTTACTCATGAGATATGCCCCACGCGTCGCACACAACATTATTGCCGTGGCACTGGGGGTGGAAGGTGAAGCGAAAGCCATACTGGCCAGAAAACTGAAGACAGCTCCTTCATGTGAGTGAATGTCTCATTATGTTTTTGTTTTTATTTTGAAGCAACATGATTTCAAAGCAGCTAGGAAGAACACTGTCCCCTCTAGGAACATTCTGAGTATCTGGAATAGGAAGTATAAAACAGGCATAAAGAAGTTATTGTGTGATTTGACTACTGTGCAAATGTTGTTGTTGTTGTTGTTTTTTACTGGCTTTTGTGTCTGGCTTTTTCCATCATTATAAAAATCAATAAATGTTTAATACGATACAATTTATATTATGCAGGTGATAATTTGACATACCGTATTCCATTTTTTCCCATAATAATAGTCAATTGAGGTAACCAGTGTTTAAAAAAAAAAAGCTATGTGCAAGTGGTTCTGCCCCACTTCCCACCCGTATGACCTTGAGCCGTCATTTAGTCTTTTCGGTGCATCGGTTTCCTCATCTGTAAAATGAGGACATTAACAGTGCCTATCTCCTAGAATTGATGTGAGGATTCGGTGAGATGTATTCCTAAAGTGCTTAGAAGAGTGTATGGCACCTAATAAACATTTCCAAGGATGTTAAGCTTATTAATAGGATTACGATATCTGATCAGTTTCTGCTCCTATTAATCTTTGAACTGGTAAATATCAGAATCATATGAAGATGAGAAGATGAGACTAGATCAGAAAATTGATTGTTGCATTTGAAAAGGGAGATAATTTTGGACATATTTTAGCTACTTTTGCCCTTAGATGGAGCAGGTGCAAGTATCCATTGAGAAGGGAAGGAGATGCTAGGCATTCTCTCAAGCAAAATTGGAAAGACAATGAAATGTGAACCTAGAATGTTCCCAGTCAGGACAAAAAAGGCTTCAGTGAACCTCTAACATTATAGCCAGATCTGTATTTTCTTTTTTGTTACAATGAAACTCTGTAAATAATAATTTCTGGTATTCTTGCATACATATCTTTAGTATTTTATCCCCACAATCAGTAAAACACTCAACCAAATTGATGCTACAATTATTCAAAAGGAAACAAAAACTTTTTTCTATATTATCTCTATCATCAACCTTCTAATTACATGTGTAGACAGTGACTTATCACAGAAAGTCTATGATACACTACTGAAAAGTATCAAGAAGAATCTAAAACAAGGTGTATGTTTGGGTTAGGGGGTTCAGGGGGTTGGGGGCTTTCAGCCAGAAAGATGCTGTCTTGTGGGTCTGCTGGTACCATGACTCTAAGCTCCACTCTACTCAAATCCAATAAGCATGTGAGAAGCAGAAAAAAGAAAAATGGAGGAAAGTTGGTAAAAGGAAAAAGGCATTAGAGGGACAGTAGTCCAAGTAGAATTGTCAGTGAGGCAGCAAGGAAACAGCCAGCAATGACCAAAGTTGAGCAAAACATCATGAAAGAGAAAAACCACCAAGGAAATTATTCAGGGATTATTTGAGATGCCAAGAGGGTGGCAAACCTTTTCAGAAAAGCAAGATTCATGATAACCCCTAAGTTCAGTTCATAAATCGCACTATTTATCAGGCCATGTGTATTGGCTCGTCAGGACTCCTTCTGTTGCAAAAAAAGTCAACTCGAAGTAACTGAAGTCACCAGGTACCATGGCTCACACCTGTAATTCCAGCTACTTGGGAGGCTGAAGTGGGAGGATCACTTGAGCCCAGGAGTTTGAGGCTGCAAGTAAGCCATGAGGCTGCAGTGAGCCTGGGCAACAGAGTAAGCCCTTGACTCAAAAAAATACAAAAAGTGATTGAAGTCAAATAGAGAACTTTTTTCCCCACATAACTGAAAAGCACAGGAAGTAGTTCTTATTTCAGACATAGCTGGATGTTGGAGCTCAAACGGTGGTGCCAGGACATACCTGTGCTCTCTCTGCTGGCTTATCACTCTGCTGTGCTTTTCGTGTTGGTCTCCTTCGCAGTTCGGCCCTAAAAGGTGGCAGAATGGTCACTGGCATCCCAGACTCACATGCTTGTAGTTTACATACCCCAGGAGAATGAGGGTTTTCTTTCCTAGTTGTTTGTGCAAAAAGGAGTACAAACTTATCGTCCAGGCTTGGACCGCTTGCCCATCTCTAAATCAACCATCACGGCTGGGGGCGGGTGGGGGGTGGGTGGAATCTGCATCTAATGCCTATAGGTGGACCTAAGGCGTGAGGACAGTCCCACCCGACACATAGATAGGGACTGACATTGGAGAAGGAGTAGTTATTTAAAGAAAAATCAGGATGCTCTTAATGGAAAAAAAAAAAAAAAAAAAAGGAGGAGGGGAAATTCAGTAGGATGTTCTGTTAGTTGAAGACAAAAGCAATCTTATACAAGAGAACAGGGAAGAAGTTAATCTCCACAGTAAGAAGTGGTGTGGACTTAAAAGTGATTAAGTTTTTAGGCAAATAAATAAGTTAAATAAGTAAATAAATAAAATTATTTATTTGCAGTTTTCATACAACCTTCCTAGACAGTTCACAATGATAAAATCATATTGAATGCTAATGCCTATTTCTCTCTAACCACTGTGGTCTTATTTTACTTCTTAGCATGTATCACTTTGTATAACAGTTGTTTTCTCATCCAATTTCCACCACCTCTAGAATGTTGCAAGGATTTGAGCTGATTTGTTTTCTTCTAAACCTAGTACCTTAGAGGTGCCTCACACATAGAATAGAATTCATAACTATTTGTTGACTAAGATGTTGCCCAGGGTCCTCTTATAATAGCCTCATTTTGCCAGAGATGAAACCCATCAGAGAGTTAAGTGATTTGCCCTAATTTCTATTCTAGTCTAGAAGCAAGAACTTGTCAAAAATCAAAGCATATTAAAAAGTCCTTTCTCCCTCACCTCTCTTGACCTGTCACTCACTCTCTCTCCACCTCTCTCTCTCTCAGTCGCAAACAAAGTCAGGACAAACACCAGTGAAATAATTTTCAGTAGCAGTTTCTTTCAGGGAACATTTCATTATTTCTTTAATTTAATTATACACCATACCATTCATAGAACATTATTAGGTACTGCTAAACTATGATAATTAGGGAGGTGATCCACACATTTTGCACAGTTTTAGGAATCATAAACTTAGATTCATTTTATAGCAAAAGAACCAATCCTAAAACAAACATGCACACAAACAAAAAATAGGGTTCAAGTAATTTTTATATTAATATACCTTATTATTTTTTTAACTTTCTATTCTTCACAGACATTAAAGATGTGATCATTTGGGGTAATATCAGTGGAAATAATTATGTTGATCTGAGAAAAACAAGGGTGTACAGATATGAGAGTGCCATTTGGGGACCTCTTCATTATTCACGCCCTCTTTTAAACTTGATTTTTGACAGGTATGGTATATTTTTAAGTGAAGCATACTGACAGTATTAAAATAAATGTTTAATGGTTGTAATCTTTTAAATCATCTTATAAATCTTTGTACAAAAGTAACTTGCATTGTTCACACTCGTATTTGTTCATGCTGTCTACCACAGAAACAGAAAATTCCACAGAATATCAACTAGGTAATTGATTTGATTTTGAAATTATGAATTATTATATTTCAGATCTTTCAGTAGCTCATGTATTCAAGTAAGGTTATCTCTAAAGCAAGCGTGTATAAGGGAATCTTACTAAGTGTAAAGACAGAGCTATCTATCCAGGTTGAAATTAATTGAAATGTTTTCAAGCAAGGAATTAAGATGATGAGCAGGCACAGGCCAGGCTGGGCATTGTGTGGCAGGAGGCCGAAGCAAGAGGTCGTGAGGGACACGGTCCCAGGACCAAGCCACCCAGGCTGGGATTCTCACTTAGCCACTTAGTAGCTGTGTGACCTTAGAGAAGCTACTTAGCCTCTCTATGACTCAGTTTTCATCTGCAAAGTGGAAATGGTAACATAATAAGGGCCCTCCCTATAGGGTCTTGGGGAAGATGAAATGGATTACTCCTGGTAAGGGACTTAGAGCTGTGTCTGCACAATAAGCCCTAGCAATTATGATGAGGCAGAGGAGAAGCAGGAAGGAGCACCTCTGAAGCATTTTTTTCTAAACTTTGCAGCACTTTCCCAGTGGTAGCATTTTCTTTCCATTGCCCGTTGCTTTCCTTTTCTTCCTCAGATCATAGGAACTTCACCCCTGCCTAGGGAGGATGTGTCCCAAGTTCACTATTTTGAAGCGTGATTCCTCTGCATTTGCTGCCTGGGCAGGACCAGTGTTGCATAGAGCTGTCGTGCAGGGTTAGCAGAGACTGACCAGCTGGACTATTCTCTGAGTTTAGACTTCAGATCATAAAAATATAATTATTTTCCTAATTCTCAACGTGAATCCAGCTTGAGCACCCCAATCCAAAAATCAGAAATCTGATCTGAAATGCACCAAAAACTGAAACTTTTTGAACGCCAACATGATGCCACTAGTGGGAAATTCTACACTCGGCACCTTTGCTTTCTGGTGGTTTAATTTACATGATCTTTGCTTTGTGCACAAAATTATTAAATACGTTGTATAAAATTACCTTCAGGCTATGTGTATAAGGTATATGTGAAACATAAATGAACTTTGTGTTTAGACCTGAGTTCCATTCCCATGATATTTCATTGTGTGTTTGCAAATATTCCAAAATCTGAAGCACTGTGGTCCTAAGCATTTAGGCTAAGGGATACTCACCCTGTAATTCAATGTTTTATGAAATTATTTTATTTAATGTGTAGGGTACTACTGGTTCCAAGGTAGTGTCTACACAGGATCAATTCTTTGTAATGAAAATAATAGTTCTTGCCATTTTTAGCCACATTTCTGTGTTCCATATTTATAGTATCATATTTTTAGTTTGACATCTTGGGACTCCTTTCTACTACCTTTCACTATTTTTCAATTGACTTTTTATGGGGATTGAAGACACTTGAGGAAAGACACTAGAAATAAAGTCATATTTCTATTTTGATTGTGGATTAGGTTTCTGATACTTAGTTCCATTGAGCCAGGGAATACTCTTTTTCAATTTAATTCCTCTCTCCATTGTAAAATTGTTTCTTTCTCTCCTTACAGTGAGTGGATAAAAAGAGAATTTGTGGCAACTCTTAAAAACTTGACCGCCACAGGAAGACAATTTGGAGGCATTTTGGCTGCACACAGTATAGCCACTACGTTGAAATACTGGTATCATAGCTCACCGCCTGGAGAGATTGTATCTTTAGGAATATTGAGTGAAGGTAAATCTGAGTTTTTCGTGTCTTGTAAAATCTTAAAACCTATGTCTATGCCTTGTGCTCCTAATTCTGTGTCCCCACCCATCTAGCTCTTAACATGGTCCATAAGCTGCCTAGACTTTTACAATTTCATAATAATTCATTCATTCAATTATTCATTCAGAAAGTCAACAATATTTTGTATGAATGCATTGGAAATACACATAGGAGTTAAGATGTGGCGTCTGCCTTCAGGAAACCTACAGTGGAATAAACAAGAGCCAGATACATAAACAAAATCTGTTGTTAGGTTTTCCTAGCAAGAGATAAGGAGAAAGCAAGTTCTATTCTAGGCAGGAAGCAGGGGGAACCAGTACAGGCTTCATGAAGAAGGCGACACGCCAGTAAGCCTAAAGTATGAGGAGTGTTGACTTGGAAGACAAGTGTGGAAAGAACGCTGGGCACAGGGAGCCATAGGAGCACAGACACAAAGGCAGGATAGAGAGGGACACTTAAGGACCCAGATCTCAGGGTACCAGGCAACACTGGGGATGTGGAAAGGTTGCTCTCCATCCACAAATACTGCATATAAACTTTTACAGCCCTAATGTTTTAATCTGCTAAAAACTATGCAGAAGACTTCTACGTCTTTGTTTGTTTGCTTGACATGGAGTCTTGCTGTGACACTCAGGCTGGAGTGCAATGGCACCATCTCAGCTCACTGCAACCCCCGCCTTCTGGGTTCAAGTGATTCTCCTGCCCCAGCCTCCTGGGTAGCTGGGACCACAGGCGCACGCCACTATACCCAGCTAATTTTTGTATTTTTAGTAGAGACGGGGTTTCACCATGTTGGCCAGAATGGTCTCAATCTCCTGACCTTGTGATCTGCCTGCTTCGGTTTCCCAAAGTGCTGGGATCACAGGCGTAAGCCACCATGCCCGGACGACTTCTACCATTTTTACACAACAGGAAAGAGAATAGCTGCTGTTCTGTCATCTGTAAGGTCTATCTTAAGCATCTCTTCCCTTTGGGTTCTACTTTCTCCCTTAGCAAGCTTGTCCACTCCCAGAGCTGCGGACCTGGGTCTCTCTGCCTCTAGCTTCTGAAACATTGTCACCTGGATGTCATGTTGTCACTTCCATCCAACATATACCAAACTGTATGTACTGTCTTCCTTCCCAATTGGTTCCATCTCTTGTATTCTTTATGTTATAAGTAGAACCACGATCTTCCCTATTGTTTCAGTGACATCAGTGCAGGTTAAAGAAATCTCCCCAAATCCCTCATGTCAGAATGAATCTCTGTCTCTTCTCTGTATCCCCACATAGCATTTTGTTCCCCTGTCACAGAGAATATTATAGTCTGCCTCTTTTTGATAGTGTGATTAGTTGCATATGTCCCCTTCATTGTGGCACCCTGAGGGCAAAGGCTTTTTCTGGGCCACCTCTTTGCCTCTTCACGGGAGAAGCATTTTATATCCAGATACTCAATGAATCTTGTTCAACTGAAGTTAAGGTGCATGAACATTGTCATAGTGTGAATTCAGATCAGCAAATTATCTCCTTAGGGAAACAGGCATTTAAAAACCTTACCTTTATTTGTAGAAAGAAAGTTTAATTAATCTCTGTAGGAATTATATTCAGAAATAAACAATGCAGTACTTGGGGGAGAGGGGTAGATGATTGTTGTCTGTCTCTCTGAAACCATACCAAATAGGTAAACCCTCAGACCTTGTCTGCCCATAAGGCTAGCTCTTCACACATTAAACAAAATACAGCATTACTTGAGGACCTGGGAAGCCCTGTAAGGAAAAGTCTTTTAGATCTTGGTTTCTTGAATGTCCTCAATGTTTTTTGTTGTTGTTGTTGCTTTTGTTTGTTTGTTTGTTTTTGTTTTTTGCCCTGGTGACATTTTTGTTGTTTAGAATGGCAGAAATAATTTTCTTATGTGATTGAGGCACCAGAAATGGGGACAGTTTTGTCTGAATGGTGCTCAGTTAGTAATACATATGGTTAATCTTTTTATTTAGAGCACATCCAAATATAAGTATTTCTGTATATCTTAAAGAAATTAAATGTGTTATTAAATGAAGGATGGCTTCTGCTTAAGATGTAGAAACATGTAAAGGAAATCATCCCACATGAAGCAAACACACACCAAAACACATGGCAAACTTGGGGCTGGAAAGGAATAACCAAATTTCCTGCCTCCCCTCCTTTCCCTTCCCAGTTCCTCATACTCTGGCTGTGTGAGTGCCATAGCAGGCGAGAAGAGTGGAAGGCCAGATGGACAAATGACTTAGGCTCATGGGCTGCATAGGGGCCCAGGGAAAAGCCATGCAGACAGACAAAAAGAATACAGACAGGGTTCAAAAGAGAAAGACTGCACTAGCCTCTGGATGAGAGAGAAATACAGATGGCAGAATTGTTAGAACCTAGATAGTTGCTTAGTCAATCCTTCTAGAGGGGAGTGTTTCTGTCCTCCTTGGAGGAGAATTCCCAGAAATTTAATTCCATCATTATCATTAAAAATCCTGTATTATGTTTGTCCTTTTCTACAGTGCTTAACAGAAAAGGTGCATGTTTCTAAGTTCTGCCGCATTGCTTTGCTTTGTGTTTGCTCACTGCAGGCCAGTTTGGTATTCCTAAAGGGATCGTCTTTTCTATGCCTGTGAAATTTGAGAATGGAACTTGGGTGGTTCTTACAGATCTCAAAGATATTGAAATAAGTGAACAAATAATGACCAGAATGACAAGTGATCTAATTCAGGTAATGCCAGAATAGATACAAGGGGACTGACCTTGATAATGATCTTAAACTGATTCCCCTAGGCCAAGGCATATATTGGTTTTTCTACGGATTCAAATTTTTTTTAATTCCTAAAAGTAATGAGATAATAAAAGTTTGAAAAACATCAGTGAAAGAACGTTACTCATTAGGTTATACAGTTTCTGGTATGTTAAAAATATTTGTTCGTTATTTTAAAATGAAGAATCAAAGTGTTTTTCTATTAAAGAATAGTTAGGTTGCCAGGTGCGGTGGCTCACGCCTGTAATACTTTGGGAGGCCGAGGTGGGTGGATCACCTGAGGTCGGGAGTTTGAGACCAGCCTGACCAACATGGAGAAACCTGTCTCTATTAAAAATACAAAAATTAGGCGGGCATGGTAGTGCAGGCCTGTAATCCCAGCTACTTGGGAGGCTGAGGCAGGAGAATCACTTGAACCCAGAAGGCAGAGGTTGCAGTGAGCCAAGATTACACCACTGCACTCCAGCCTGGGCAACAAGAGCAAAACTCCATCTAAAAAAAAAAAAAAAGAATAATTAAGTTAGGAATTGTGGTCATTTAATTCTGTGATTATAAAATTTTTCCACAGGAGAAACTTGTTGCACTTGGAGACAAGATACATTTTCAGCCATACCAATCAGGTAAGGTCTTAGATGTGATGTTTTATTGGACTGCTATTAAAAGGGTATTAACATATTTATTATAACTGAATCACTGTTAATATGAATAACTCCCATTTGTATTTTATCGTTTCTAAACTAAATTCATGACAAAATAAACTGTTAAGTTCAACGTGTCCTTTGAAATAAAACATCTCATAAGAATGTTAAAGAAAACACAACTTAAGAACACTATGATTTTATAAATGTTGTAGGTATCATATTTATTAATTTCCTAGGACTCCCATAACAAATTACCACAAATTGGATGGCTTAGAAACAACAGAAATTTACTTGTTCACAGCTCAGGAGACTAGAAGACCTGATGTGAGGTATCGGCAGGGCCACACTCTCTCTGAAGGCTCCAGAAAGAATTCTTTCTTGCTTTTTCTAGCTTTGGGTTGCAGTGCTTGCATTCTTGGCTCGTTGCTGCATCACTCCAACCTCTGCTTCTCTCTTCACATGTCTGTCTTTCCTCTGTATATGGCTGTGTTTCCAAATCTCTCTCTCTCTCTCTCTTTATAAGGATACCAGTCATTGCATTCAGGACCCACCCTAAACCAGTATGATCCTATCTTAAATTGATTAGGTCCGCCAAAACTCTATTTCCCATAAGATCACATTCACAGGTACCAGGCATTAGGATGTCAACATATCTTTTTTTTTTTTTTTTTTTTTTGAGACAGAGTCTCACTCTGTTGCCCAGGCTACAGTGGTGCCATCTCAGCTCACCACAACTCACGCCTCCCGGGTTCAAGTGATGCTCCTGTCTCAGCCTCCTGAGTAGCTGGAACTACAGGTGCACACCACCATGCCTGGCTAATTTTTGTATTTTTAGTAGAGACAGGGTTTCACTATGTTGGCCAGGCTGGTCTTGAACTCCTGACCTCATGATCCACCCACCTCAGCCCCCTAAAGTGCTGAGATTACAGGCATGAGCCTGGTCAACTTCAACATATCTTTTTGGAAACACAATTCAACCAACAACACCAGATTTATTTTTAGATAACTTTATTAAAAGCCAACAAATTTCAATAAGCTTATATTTCTTATTGATATTTTCTCTACTCATAAGAAATAAGGGAGGGCTGACATCTTTTCTTTGCCTTAAAGATGATCTCATCTTAGGTATGGATATATACATCCAGAAATAAAGCAATTTATTTATGCAAAGGGCTTTAGTCAAGTGTCTTGGAGCCCAACATTCCTTCCTTCTGCTAATGTGTGTGCAGTACCAACTATAAGCTAGTGCTAGGAGCTGGAAATACAGAGGTGAATGAGATAGACCTGATCTTGCCCTCTCAGAACCTGCAGTCCATCAAGGGGCTGGCCACACATTATATAGATGACTGCAGTTGTGGTGCATTGGAGGAGTAACTGCTGGCTGCCATGCTGTCAGAGCTCATGCCTGTGGATAGAAGGGAAGAACCTGAAGCGGGAAAGTATATATCAACTTGTTTGGAAAAACTGTGGAAAAGCTTATGTGGCCAAAGCCAGAAGAGATGGAGCTGAGAGATACAGCCATGAGGAGATGTGAGAGCTACAGAAGATTTCTAGATGGAGAGAACCTGGTCATGTGTGGGATTAGTTTGAAAAACATCCTGGAATAAAGCAAGACTGTTTGCAGAAAGACTGGTATTGGGGGATAGTGCATACAGCCAAGACCAGAGGCAGTAGAAATTTCAGAGATATTTAGGAGGTAGAATTATCAGGACTTGCTGATGAATCTGATTGGCTCTGGTGAATCCCAACTGGCAACTGGGCAGATTTACTATTGATAAGGGGAAAATGGTACTGAGCAACTGGGCAGATTTACTATTGATAAGGGGAAAATGGTAAAAGAACGAGAGAGAGAGAAAATATGAGAATGTGGGAGGTGTGTGTGTGCATGCATGCCTGTGGATGGAAGAGGAAGAAGCATGGTGCCAGAGTAGAAAAAGCATGAGTTTCATTTCTTACATTTTGATTCTGAAATACCTGTGTGATATCTAAAATGGAAATGTCACATGGAAAACTGCATACTTCTTGGAGCTCAGAAAGATCTGGACTACAGCTGCCAAATGGGGAGTTGTTGACTCATAAATAGAAATGAAGCTATCTGTATGATGGAGATTGTCTAGAGAGAAGGTAAGAGAAGAAAGCCTGGAGGAACTTAGCCTGTCATGGTTAACTGACAGAAGACCATGAGAAAGGGTGGTCAGAGAGTCAGGAGAAGCCCCTGAAATCTGATGATGTAAAAGACCTGAAGGCAGAGGGTGTTTCAAGAACAAGGACTGGTCTACACTGTCAGATGCTACTGGTGTGTTAGATAAAATGAGACCTGAAAAATACCCAATGGTTGTATGACCAAGGTCATTCATGACTTTGATGAGACTGATTTTGTGGAATGGAGAAGGCAGAAATGAGACTAGAGTAGAAAGGAAGGACCTTAGCCTTAGGGGCCAGAGTGTCACTCTGGAGCTGGCATGCTCAGTGCTGTGGACCAGAGGAATGTGCTATGCACCATGACAGCAGTGGGAAGGGCCCCATCAGGGCTCTGACCTGATAGAAGGGCTTTTGGGAGGAGGTAACATTGAAACCGAGTTATGAGAGGAAGGAAGGCCAACAGTCAGGGGCATGGTAGGGGTAAATGGGAGAGTTGTTCAATTCAGAGAAAGCAACGCATTCAAAGATAAAGAAGAAAGAAAGAACTTTTGAAGAACTGCCAATTTGCTTTATCTGGAAAATAGAGTTTGAGGAATGTCAGGGGGCCAGGAATTAAGTAGAGGCCTTGTTAAAACCAATGAAGGACTTTAGGCAGAAGAGGGACAGGAGCAGCTTCTAACTTAAAATGATCACTGTCTGCAATGGGAAGAATGAATTGGAGGGGGAGAGACAAGAAGCAGGAATACCAGCTCTGTTGCAGGTAGAGAAATGATGAGGACCTTAAGCAAGCAGTGACTGTGGGGATGTAGGGAAAGAGCTATATTTGCAAGAGATACAATTGACAGAACTTGACCAATCTGAGATTGAGGATAAGAGAGTGCTCAAGAGAGTCAAGAATGCCCCTGATGTTTTCAACATCTCAACACATGGTGATGGTGTTATCTGAGGCAGAACTTCCCAAACAGTGGGCCACAAATGAATTGAATGTGTAGAACTCTTGATCTTCTCAGTCCTGGGGGCAGAATCTGGGGCAGCTGGAGTCCCCAAGCTGGTTGCCTCTCCTGTCCTTGTCACTTACTATGTGCTCTGAGTCAGGAACATGATTGGGAAGATGCAATTAATGTAATGAATACAGGAGAAGGAGCAGACTTTCAAGAGGTATCTAAGTGAAAGTTCTGGTGGGTAACAGACACGTATCTCTGGAGCCCAGGAGAGAGCTCTGGGCTGGACATGGGGACACAGAGTTGTCAGCAACTGATAGTAATGAGAAGAAACTGATAACCGTCGTGACCTCCTGGAGGAGAACCTGAGTGGTGGGGGAGGGAAGACTTCTGCAGTTCAGGGTCTCTTGTGCCTCTTGGATTTTGTTCCATGTGCATGGTATACATATCCAAAAATACAAAGAGGTGAATGGATATCTGGATGGTTGGATGTTAAAGTTTAACTACTATTAGAGAGGAGAGGGTGAAGATAGAGGGGGAGTGAGCAGAAGGGTTCTCTGCTCAAGTAGAACTCAAGTGCCAGAGCACAGGGTCAGCTGCAAACTGAAAGTGCCTCTGCTGCTAAGGCCAGAGGAAGGGGAGAAGGTGATGGATGCAGATGCAAGTCAGTGTGTGGAATGGAGGAATACGGAACCAAACAGGCAGCGGGACCAGGTCCTGAAGGCCAAAGACTCAGGGAAAGTCTAGGCTTCTAAGGAAGGACATGAAGGTTTGAAATACAGGCATGTGTGCATAATGACATTTTGGTCAATGGCAGATGGCATGATACCACAGTGGTCCTGTTGCAGGCCAAAAGAGTGAGTGTCGTGATCAACTCAGTGGAGGCTATATGAGTAAACAGCAAACTGTTCTCATAAATGCAGAATGTTAGCAAACTGACAAACTGCATCTGCCGCCCAGAAGGAATGCTGAGGGCCATCGCACCCCAAGTGCAGTGTTTCTTGTGATTAGGCACATCTGAAGCTTGTTAGCTATAATAATGGGAACCTGTGATCAATGAAGCAGCTGACCATTTAGCTCCTCCCTCCTCTTTCTACCCAATAAATACGAAGGGCTGTAGATGCTCAGGGCTGCCTTTGCTCACTAGAAGCAAGAAGCCCCCTTCTTCCCCTGACCCCTTCTTTTTCTTTAGAACAAATCCTTTTTCTTTGTCTTCATTTCTACGTTCGTCCTCCTTTGTTCAGTCTGGTAGTAACTGGGGCAAACTGTGGCATGGTCTCATAACATAATGGAGTTGAGCAATTCCTTCCGCCTAGTGACCTCCTAATGATCCTGATGCTGTGTAGGCCTAGGCTAATAATGTATGTGTTTATGTCTTTTTTTTTAACAAAAAAATTTGAAAAGAAAAAAGTAATTTTTAAAAATAGAAAAAAAGCTTATAAAAGGACATAAAGGATCTAAAGAAAAAGGATATAAAAATATTTTTGTATAGTTGTACAAGGTGTTTGCGTTTAAGCAGAGTGCTAATACAAAAGAGTTGGTTTTTAAAAACATAAAAGCTTAAAAATACAGTAAGCTAAGGTTAAGTTATTGTCAAAGAAAGAAAAAAAATTTCAGTGTAGCCTAAGTGCATGGTATTTATCAGTCTGCAGTAGTCTACAATAATGTCCTAGGCCTTCACATTCACTCACCACTCACTCACTGACTCACCCAGAGCAACTTCCAGTCTCACAAGCTTCATTCATGGTAAGTGCCCTATATAGTTGTACCATTTTTTAATCTTTTATGCTGTTTTCTTTTCCTATACTTTTTCTATATTAGATATGTTTAAATACACAAATGCTATTATGGTTACAATTGCCTACAGTATTCAGTACAGTAACATGCAGTGCAGGT